GTGTATCAGTGCTCCTCCCCTGGATGGTGTCGTGGTTTGCCCTTTAGTGATGGTATTAACATAGGCCACATTTCACCTGACAGAGAGGCAAGTTTGACCACTTAAACTTTTTGATGATTTATTCATTTTATTTTTTATTTTGAAGGCTGTTATTTATAGTCATTAGCTTTAAATTGAATGCATAGTAATGGCTTTTATGAAATTTTAGGATGGTTTTGTGGTGAGGACGTACAATCCTTTGGTGAAACCGATGCCACTTGTCAATGAGCTGGGGCTGAGTTTGGCAATTAGGTGTATTCAGGTATGATTCAGTGTGTTTTTTGTTTAGCCTGTATTTACAATGTGATTTTATGTTTTGCTGTGGATGAAACCAGCTGTAGATTGCAACTAGATTATTTTGTATACATTATTTTGAGTACAGATTTGTCCTTATGATATTCAGCTGGTGTGTAATATTGAATTATCTGTGTTCTGAAATAATACTAAACATTTATGAATGATTCTCAATAGGTTTTTGGTGGTCCAGAACAACAGTCAACATTGTCAGCAGGTCTGGATGAGGATATACTTATGGTAGCAGCAGGAAAAGAATTCACACTAGTTAGAACAGTTGGTGGCAGGGTGAGTTTTAGTTCATTTCTTGGTAGCACAGAAATTAACATACATCAGTGGTTTGTCATGATTTTTAGTAATGAAAAAATATATGCATAATAGGGATATTAACATAAAATTCAAGGACCATATAATGTTTCAATACTACCAGTGGTCCAAAGATTTATGGATAAGATAAGGAGGGAGAGAAATCAAAGTAATCTTTTTTTTTTTTCTTTTCTTTTCTTTTTTCCCCCCTTTAAACAGGAAAAAAATAGATTGATAGTAGACACATGTAGGACTTGCATCATTTTCAAAAAAGGATAATTAGATAAATAGAAAGTGTGAAAAGTTTACAGAAATAAAATTCTTAGTTAAGTAATTAGCATGGTTCCCTCGTGTTCTTTTAGGTATATTACAGTGGGAAAGCATCATCGGTGGGTATGAAGCAGGGCAGCAGTAGTAGTGCAGCTGCCAGCAGCAGTGGGGCTGGAGGTGCCATTGTCAGTGCCAGTGGAGTAGCTGGCACAAGTGCAGGTGGATCAGGTGGTGCAGGATCAAGTGCTGCTGCAGGTGGAAGTGGCGGAGGTGCAGTGAATGGCCCTAATACTCCAAGTGCTCCTACTGGAAGGTGGCCAGAGTTGACCATTACCAAGTCTCCACGTATTGTGCATCTATCAGTGGGCCATGAGGGGCAGCACTCTGTGCTTGTGTCAGATGAGGGCTCGGCCTTCTTTGTTGGAACAGCAAGACGTGGGGAAGATGGGGATTCCAGTAAGTGAAATCTTCAGAAATTGCTAGATTAGTAACAAAAAGGAGGAAAAAAAATGATTGATTAACCAATATGTTATTTCTAAAAGATATATATTGATATTCAATTATTTTTTAAAAATTATTGTTCATTTATTTATTAAGAAACATTAACATGATCTTGTGTCCCTCATTTAGGTAAGGGTCGTCGGCAGCCAAAACCAGTCAAACCAAAGAAGATGATAAAATTAGATGGACATTTTGTCACCAATGCAGCTTGTAATAACGGAACATCTGCGCTTGTAACGCGTGATGGGGAGCTCTACATGTTTGGCAAGGACACTTCACATTGTGACAGTACTACAGGTTAGTGTTCTAATTGTTGCTACCTTTTGCTTATTGAAGTAATCAGATTGATAGTCGGAGAAAAGATGTTTATAATCCTATAGGTGATAAACATTCAGTAAATAAGGAGTGTGTTAAGTTTCTATGCAACAGAGACCTCTTATCAGTCCAGCTGCCAAGCAAGTAGAGGCATTTTGCATCTGCTCACATTTACAAAAATATAAGAAGTTTCTTATCATTAACTTTGACAGAATATTATGTTATTTTTTACCAGTTCAAAAATATCAGTATTTAAGTGGAGAATGTCTTTTTAGGCAAATGTTTGAGTGTACTTTGAAGACATACTTTTCTGCAGAGGATTGAATATCAGGAACATAGAAACTTGGTCATAGGTTCGAAACGCAAAGCATCTATGTGTCTTAACTACCGAGTTGACACTATGTGCTTGATTGTTTGTAAGGTCGCACATTACGAGTTTAGTAATTTCAGCCCTTGGTTCCTGTTTATCCACATACCCAGTGGCTTTATTTGCAAGAGTATTATGAATTGAGAGATCAGAGCTTTCACCCAACCTTACATGCCTGTATCACTGTGTGAATATTTTTCGGAACACGACTTTTACATGTTCTTCAGTTTGATATGAAGAACTTGGGTAAAGCCTACAAATCAGTAATACAATCTAGACACTTTGGCTAAAAAAAAATTTCAACTATATGTTGAGAACTGGATGCAAAGAGTTTATCAAACTTACTGAAAGAATTTTTTTGTTCTTGTATTGTTATCAGAGTTTTAATAAATAGGACCATCTAACATGACTAGAATTTATCAGGATTATATTTAACATCTTTGTTGTTATTATTTCCATATCTTATTTTCCAGGTCTCGTCACTGATCTCCGAGATGTCCATGTGAGCTCAGTATCTTTGGGCAAGGCTCATGCTATTGCCCTGACAAACAAAGGCCAGATTTACAGCTTTGGGATCAATAATAAAGGCCAATGTGGAAGGGATTTTGTGCCACAGATTAAGGAAGGAACAGGTTAGTGTGAAAATTGGGGAAACTATGTTGAATTGCATGAGTCACTGGGATTGGTTTTGAGCAAAGGCTATTATTGCATGTATGAATTGAATGTATTAAATGTATAGAAGGATTTTCAAGGGAATATGTGTTTCCAGTGTTGGTACATGTCTGATCTGTATTTTATGCTATCATTTGTAATTTCAGTTAGAATCCTGCTCTTGTTGTATTGCCAATTCTTTCTTTGTTATCATATTTAAGTTATTTGATGACACAATTGAGATTTTCATATCTAAATTAGGCCACAGCAATTTTTCTTCTTGAATAGCGGGCCCGCCGAAGTTTATTTCCAGGTAAATGAAAAAGAAAAGTGAAAATACAGAATCTTTTTTATTCTAATTTTCCACCTATATTGTGATGTCTGCAAAAGAAATGGCAAAGAAATAAATACAAATCAATTTGTCTATGATTCATTGTGTATGGTATCGTTCCTCTCGTCCGCAATAAAAATATATATATATATGGAAGAAATATCTTACTTTCATGTGTCATGTCATGTCTATTGTCAATCGTGAACATTTTTTATTTTGATTTCCAAAATAACAAATTCTGGTTGAAAGAATTCTTTATCTGTTTTCATTCAACTCCTTGAAGACTTCTAGTAAGACAGAATTGTACTTCCTCCAGGTGAGGCTGAAACTGATACATTCCTTTACTTATAATCTTTGGAAGATAGGAGGTACACTTGTCTTATTTTAGAGTTGGGGGATATCCCCCCCCCTCCCGTCGACATTTCATTATCACTAGACTTGCCCACTATTCAAGAAAAAAAATTGCTGTGGCCTTATGCTTAAAAAAAACTGGGAGTTTGTTTGCTATGATTCTGTTTGGCATGTAAAAGTTATGTGCTCTCCAAGATTATTTAATAGTTTGGCATGCATGTATACTTGCTTATACATGTATCTTTGCATTATTGTCAAAGAATGTGAATACCTACTTGTAAGAAAAATCTGCTCTCTTAACCCCTTGGATCCGGATGCTTCACTACTTGCACATGGCCCAAAATATGTGCATTAGGCTTACTTGAGTAGCCACTCTTGACAGTTGTGTGCCTTTTGGGCTAAACGTACATAAACATTCGTTCAGTGAGAAGACTCTATGCCTCCTCTTTGCAGTGTCCTTTCTCTTTTACTGCATAAGCATTTTTAGCTTTTTGCAGTTTTCCAATAAATTCAATTGATTGTTTTTCCAGATATTAATAGACTATTTTCTGTTCACAGACTCCATATCCTCTCTCTATGTTGTCCAGAACTCAGTGCAATTATGATAACAATAAGTAACATTTTTTTTATGTGTCATTTTTTAATTTTGTCATAATATTCAATTTTCTGTAGTAGAACCTGCGCCTCCAGCCATAGCATACAGAAATAGGATCCTGAGCATGGAAATAGCATCCTCCCTGGAGCTGGCACATCTTCCAGTCATAATGAAATAATGAAAAAGCCTCTTCCTAAATGCCGACTGAGTCTAATCACTTGCTTTACTTATGGCGAATCATTCTTGTCATCCCAGCCCTCTGCAAAATTTTTCCATGACAGCACATCATGATGGTCACGCCATCCGGATCATAGGGGTTAAACCCAGTTCTGATCATGCGAGTTGAAAACTTTATTATTCCATCTAGTACAGTGAATGATTTTGATTAGTTTTCATTTTTACTTTTTTATGTATTATATAATTTGTGTTTTTAATTAACCCATAGCCATGTTTTGGTGGTTCTAAAGAGAGTATTTTTTCAATTTTTAATGCTACGTAAGTATATATAATTTTTTTTATTGTCATATTTTTTCTTGTGATTTTTTCTCAGGCAGGAATATTGAGTAACAAACTTGTTTTCATCAGTAAAGGAATCCAGTCCAAACACTAAATGTACTATTCAGATAAAATACATTTTAAATCAGCCATCTTTAATTCTCAGGTGCCTGTCAGGCTTGGTCTTAATCATTAGTATTCTAGAATCTTTATTGGTTATTTATTCCGTTATTCTGAAACAAGTGTAAGAGGTATTGGCTATGTGCCTAGAGTAGTTGTAAAAGAAAAAATATTCCTGACTGTTGGAAACATTTTGTGTCCCATTTTTTAAAACTAAAATTTCACTATGGCTAAACTACCGTAGCTAGTCCTGTATGCCATTAATGCATTTGATTGTGATGCATTTTAACTTTGCTTCTGGAACATACTCTAAGGTTCATTTGTAAATGTCAGGTTGTCCCAACCCTCCCCCATGTTGTTCTGTG